AGCGGCGGGTTGGTGTGATGATAGCGGTGCTCATCACTGGAGAATGAATGGCACCACAACCCCCCCTCGGTGTGTCCAGAAGGGGAAATAACTAATTGGCAGAGGCATTGTTCTATTTAATACTGGCTGCCACCCACGCCTGATATCGACAGGAGTTGCAAAATTACAAAGCGGAAGCGGGATTTCCGAATAGTGGCTCAGCTTGCTCAACTCAGGGGAGCTGTTGCTGCCCAACGGTGATCAATCAATGTTGAATATGCACGCCCAGCCAGGTCCGGGGGGAGCACCATGTAAAGGGGGCAGAGAAATAGTCAAGCAGTTTTGATACCTAGGCAAAAAGAAGTGGACGTTGTTGAGCCGTGATGGGCCTCGAAGATTGTAATGCCCGGTGCCTTGCAGCGCACCAAGGCAGGGACCAGGTTCGAACGGTAGGGAGAGAGGCGAGAGCAATCAATCACTTGCATCTTGTCGCTGGCTAGAAAGATGCTGCATAAATAAAAGCAACGGGTTGGTTGAGTATGCAAGGCGTAAAATAGATGTCGAAATTCAAGACATTAGCAGAGACAAGGCTGAGGCACCCCCGGATGGCCAGTTATTATACCTGCCTAATCTTGCTTTTCTAATCTTGCTTTTCACCCGTCACATCCTTGATTATTGCTGGCCCGACAGGTCGCATATCAATGTGAGGCTCCAAGACTTCCTTCCTTGTTCCTTTTGGCCACGGCACACTGCCGAAGCTATCGGCACCAACAAGAGTATAATGAACCATCACCTTGTTGGTGCCCTGCATATGGGATGGAGACTTTGCCAACTCATCAAAGTCGCGCGACTCTAGGCCAGTTCACCCGTTCATCCCTCCGGGCGGCGTGTAGGCTTTCCATGCGTTGCGAACCCCCATTTCATCATCAGAAATGGTACGGGTAATCCAGTTTAACATTTGACATTGTACAAAGAGATGTTTCCGCACGTGTGGTGTCACTGGCGACGGCTCCACCAACGGCCTGGGAGTCTGGGACAACGTCCGCGCGCACCCTTCTCTCTCTCTTACGGACGGGACATGTCACTAGCTTGAAACAACAATCAGTGCGTTGTGGCGAGCAAATCGAGGCATCCGGTTTTCTTCACGATATATCAGAGACCAGAGCACACGGCCGGGACCAATCAATATCTGCCGTAATAAAGAGCTCGATTGTGAACCATCCGAAAGAGGGAGGCCTCGGCCAGGCAAAGCTTATTACAACACTTGCGGTGGCCACTGGGAGCCTGCACTAACTAGGTACCAGCAGGCTGGAAAAGCAGGCCGTAATTGAAGGCCATTGTCTCGCATTAGGGCTAGCTTTATTAACACCTGAGAGGTTGGCTTCTTCCTCGTGTGATTTTGCTTTTTTTTTTAGTCGGGCAGTTCTGCTTTACGTACTAGCGATCAACACAACGGCGTCATGAGCTTTTCATCAACAATGTCAGCCGGCATCATGCAGCGTGTGTCGCGGCATGGCCAAGTCTAGCAGCGCGGCCGTTACAAAAGCCAAGAGTGACTCCGTAGAAGTAAGTTTCTTACTGCGCCCCGAAACAACCAGGCCGCTCGCCAGTTTCATGGGTAAGAAGCTGGCCAGCCGCAGGACGCCCGAATACAAAAGGCTCCGAGACACAACACGCGCAAGGATAAAAAAAAATGGTGACTGGACGCCTTTTCAGGCGAGGCGAGGCGAGGGGCTGCCTCGGCGTCGTCGTCGTCGGAGCTCCCCTCCACGGCAGAGGTGTGATTGGCCTAGAGCAGTCCCCCGGCTTGTCAGCTAGCAGCCTTTCAAGTATGACAAAAGGTAGCAGCCTCTCAAGTCGCCAGCAGGGGTTCGACTTTCTTTCTCCAAGATACGGATACATGTCGTGCTTTTTTGTGTGTCAAGAAATATCTTGGCTGTGGTACGGAGTAGTGGTGTGCACGTCGCGGAAAGAAGGCGTGCGGGCGCGGTGATTGGCCGCGAGAGGCTTATGCCTCACCTAATGAAGACGAAATGAAGAGCTCTATTGGTTGAAAGAAACCCCGTTTGGGCCTCGCGACCAGGCTTTCGACGCCATCGTGGTACGAGCTGTTGGAGATACCCAGTCAACTAGTAGACAGCACCACCACATCGTCATTTGGCTTGGAAAGATTGAAAGATCAACATCAATCACCCCATCTGACGTTTGGCGACAAGGCCTTGAGGCCCTGGCGGTGCTGAAAATCGGTCCCCTCCCGCTCGGTGTGGCCCTGCGCGCTCGCAAAGCTCGTTCTTGACGTTTAATAAGCGATGCGGGGGTTTCACTACTCTCTCGCCACCTCCCAGTTTTTGATGTGTTTCGTTCCGGCCCCTCTTTCCCAGGCTTTCGCTGGCGCTGAATTGATGAGCTGATCCCTTGTAGGCCCTGTACGACATGCTGTGCGCCAATTCGATTGGTGAGCAGCAGCAGCAGCAGCAGCAGCAGCACCAGCAGCACCAGCAGCACCAGCAGCACCAGCAGCACCAGCAGCACCAGCAGCACCAGCAGCACCAGCAGCACCAGCAGCACCAGCAGCACCAGCAGCACCAGCAGCACCAGCAGCACCAGCAGCAGCAGCATGTTTGCCGTGGCCGGGCTGCAAGTTGTATGACCGTCGGCGCCCACCCGTCTGCCCGCCCGAGCAAAAAGTAGCGGCGGTGCCGGCCGCGTCCATACGGCCCGGGCTCTGTGGTGGTGGTCTTGTGGTGCACACCACTTGGGCGCGACCGACTTTTCTCTGCTGCAGCCTCGCTCGCCACACGGAGTGAGCAACAATATGGCTCGGTCGAGGTACAGAAGGAAGGGAGAGGGATGTATCCTGCCCGCGTTTAACAAGCATGAATATATTGCACTTATTACGCGCGTGCGATGCGAGATGCTCCGCGATTGAGACACACAGCCAAAGTTACCCACACGAGAAGCAGGAGATTTTATCGAGTTTCATCAACTAAAAGGAAAAATATAGGCAGGGTCAAGAAGCACGACAAACAGAAATGAGATGGAAACAAGGCCTTTTTTTTGGTTTAATTACTTGCACATTTTTGTCTACGATCCATGTCCGATCGACCGCGAGACCCATTATCACGACGTATGCAAACGTGATTGTGGAGGCATTGACAAGAGCTCTAATGAAAATAGGGAAACCAAGCCCCCAAAGCTGGGCCACTAGCAGATTCATGCCTATCAAATGCGTGCTCAAATCGTGAGCTAGCTGCCGTGTGGTCGAATGAGGTAATTGGAAGCTTATGAAGGAGGGGGGGCGCACAGGCCTGGCACCAACGGGGAAAGAGAATCGGAGAGAGCAAGATAAATACTGGTAGGAATAAATCTGATAGGCGAGACTTTTCTTGGTGCGACGAGATGGCTGCTGAATTGAGTTTTGGACACGTCCGTGTCATCTGGAGGAGAACCGGGTGTATGCCAGCATGCATTTATGATGGCGAGGATGCTGGCCTTGCTAGCAACGCGGGCTGAAGCATTCGAAGAAGAATCGTCGGCTAACTCGTGTACCGGAGTGTGTAAACTGGAAACAATACGTGAAAGGGTTGAAGTGTCTTGCTTCATCTGTTTTGCGATGGTGACGTGCTGGTGCGGAGACTTGTAGTCCAAGACCAATGCGAGGAAAAAGTATGGCGATATTTAAGCAAAGGATTATTTAAAAAAAGAAATAGAAAAAAGGTTAGAATGTACATTAATGTTGCACGCGAGTTGCCGCGTCCAAGTCGCGAAGTGGTGTAGATGAGATTTTTAGGAGCTTTTTGTGGGGGCACGTCATAAGAAGGAGAAAGGCTGGAAGCTTTTGCACTAGCGAATTGGTCAAATGTGCCAGTGATGCATAACTCTCAAGAATACCATTATCGCCTTTCTGTACGCATACACCAGAACAAGTTCTATGAAGATGTGCGGTCAGGTATGCAAGCTGCGAGGCATCTCGGAATGGACAATCACGATGTCAAACCACTTTTTTTTTTTCTATTCCGCCCCTGCAACGCGACGGTAATGCAAATTGCCGTGGGTAAAAGAAAGAAGAAAAAAAACGGCCTCGCGCTGGGAATAAAGTGGAAACGGAAACGGGCCAGTCAGAAACAAGGTGAGGAGATGTGATGAAGGATCTCGTGCTTCCAGCTGCTGGTATTATTTACCGGATAATAAGGGCGATTAGGCGAGTCAACGGCAGCGGACATTGGCGATTGCTGTTATTTATTACTAGTTTTGAGCGGTCGGTCGTGGTGTGGATGGTGTCTTTTTTCTTGGCCCTGTTTATCTGCAGCGGGCTGTTTGGCAACAAACAAGGCGGCGGCCAGTTGTGGGCAAACAGGGGCCGGTCAACAATCATGATGTTGACGGCGAGCATTGTGGTCGAGGCCAGCTATACGGATTACCGTTAGCGATGATGCGTCAAGTCAACATGTCGGTCTGCGAACTATGCTATTTTGTATGCACAAGATGCATTAATGTAATTTTGCCGTCGTATAACTGGCTGTTTGTCCAAATGTCTGCAAACGCGCGAGGGCTCAATTACGAAGATTTGTTTTATGCTCATCCACTTTTTTCTGCAATCTGGCTATGCAAGCATAAGTCATTTCCTCGATATTTAAATTTGGATCCTTTCATCCTTCTCGATTTCCCCACAAAGTTGAGCACCGGCACAAGCCACTCCAGCCTAACCCAAGTCTCTGTTACGGGGCGCTTTTTTGTGCGTCAAGACTCGAGCTACGAGAGCATATAATTAGGATTGGGCAAACGAATCTTGACGAATGAATCGAGATTGAAGTCAAGAAGGAAAAAAACAGACAGGCATTACCCTGTCCAATTGTCATCCCTACAGGTAGATGCTTGGACTGCAGGGTCCGAGTTGAGAGACAGAGACGGCTCGATCAGACACAATAAGACAGCGGTGCATCGCGTTTGTTTCGATTCTGGAAATTCTATCCCAAGGGGGCAAAGGAGAGAATCTGCACATTTGGTACGTATCTATTTTCTGTCCCCCAAGTTGTCTTGGTGTGGCTGCCTTCCTTTCTCGTCCTCGTCTATTGAAGTGGTGTGCTGGCAATCGCGTTGATTTAGCGCGCAATTGTACTCGGGACAATGGGCCGAAATGATGGGAATGGAAGGGCCAGTGTAACAGAGGGAAAGGCATGTCATCAGGGAGGGAGGAAGAATGAACAGCCTCTACGCTTCAATCTATCATGATGAATTTCTTGAATCTTAATCTGGGACTCGGCAAAATACACCGCCGGGTTCCTGAATTTCTTTGTGTAATGGGAAGTTTATTTTTGCCATTGTGCCATTGTGAGGCATTGCACAAAGCCACCCGTGGCCTTGTGTTTTGCTGGAGCGGGGAAGCAAGCGTTCCTCGCCGAGGATTTGGTGAGAGGCTTCCCAGCGTGGTGGTTCCAGTTGGCTGAGTGGTGGAGCGAGCGCTGTTACAAAATTAGTGAGGTCAAGGCTGCACAAAGTGGTTAACAGAGGTGCACAGCACGATGATTTGTGTGCTTGTGCCACCCAGCTATGGTTTTTTCAAATCGCCATCGCCAGACAGACGCCTCACACCTCAAAGTACGCCTCGCGCCCTGGGCGTGTGGGCTTTACACGCCCGATTCCCACATGTTGATGAGAATATAATAAAAAATAAAAATATACACCCACGACCAGGCAAACACACACCTCCCCTGGCTGCAGTAGCGCGGCCCCCCCTCCTAGCCCACACGAGCAAGACGCCAAAAAGGGATCCAGAAAAAAAAAAGGACTCCAAGCAAGGACGAGGGCGTCGTCGAGGCTGGCTATGATCCATGACCCATTACTGGCTGGCAATAGCTCAGGCTAAGCAGGGGGTCTGCTGAACGGTGCTGTACTGGGCTGTACTGTACCTTTGGTGGTACTTGTGGTGCTCCGGTGCTGATGACGCCGTGGTGCAGTGCATTCTGCTTTTTAGCCTTTCGGGGCTCCCAAGTCGCTAAAACGCCTGCTGAGTTAAAGGTGCTGAAACTTTACAGGCTGCAACGAGGCCCTGAAGCACACAATAAAAGCACCCGATGGCCACCATTAAACACCACTGACTGTCCTCTGGCCACTGTCCACCCAACTGCTTTCTCTTCATCCTGCAGGCACTGTTAATTACCGTCCTACCTGAAGGAAATGCGCTGCCCCGAATAAAACTAACCGTCTCTCCGCTAAATACCAATCTGCTCTGTTCGTCTCCATCCTCCTCTTACCTCTCTTTTTATCCCACCTCCCCTCTCCTCCTCTTCTTCTGCCTCTTCCTCCTCTTCTCTCTCATCCTCGTCCACTCATCCTCTTCTCGCCATTTCTTCTTCGTCCCTGACCCCGTCACAGCAGGTCGACACCCTCGCACAAGAAATCGGCCCTCGGATTGAGACGAGAGATCCTTAAAAGCCGCCCCTTCCCTCCCTCCATCCTCGATCCCCTCCCTCCAGCCCCCTTGACCACTGCTAGCTTCCAACACGATTACCCGTGTAAAAGCTGCTCAGCTGAAGTTTAAAGAGAACAATCCACTCGATTATTCTCGCCCGCCCGACAAAGCGATTCAAAGCTGCCTTGATTGGTATTTCGCTCCTCTTGTCCGCTCCAACTGAGCTAGTCTCGTCTTTCGACTCCAACTTGGAGCTTCGCCAGATTCCAGTTCTCTCGACATAGGAATTCGATCCACTCTTCCGCCATCCACCGAAGACCTCCCTTTGCCAGCTTCCATCAAGCTCGCTCGACAAACGATTCGATTCCCACCCTTTCCCGTCACTAGTTTCTGCTAGACGTTCCTTCAGTCGAGTCTCTGGTCCCTACCCTCTGCTCCTCGACAGCCACCGACGTTCGATACGACCCCTTCTCTCGAGATAGCTTCACTAGCCGGACCTCTCGTCTCTCTGCACTCCTTCATTTTACTCTCATTTTCGTCTTTTCTAGAGGTTGACGGCAAATTGTACGTACAAACGCTTCCCAAATCACCACTCTTTGACTTCTCAACAACTCTACCAATCGGGCGCTTGCCTTATCGTCACACCAAACTCTCAATGTCCGTGGGCTGACCTCGTCTCCATTGTAATATAGTTGCATGCCGGGCCACCTCCTCTGCATTCTTCAGCCTCTCCACTGTCGCGGTCGACTTCAATCCTGTGCACAGCGCTCTAGGACACGTTAACTCGTTGGTCCCACCCTCTGCACAATTGTCTCATCTTGATTGTCTTGTCCCTTCTGCAACAGAGCCAGTAAGCCTTCCCTTTATTCTTTTCCTGCCCGCTGGCACCTGATGCCAATCGATCGAAAGCCTCCCATACCAGCCTACCCCTCCCTACCTTTTAAGGGAGCGGCACGCCAGGGGAAATTCTTATGATCCCCGCAATTCCGCCATGGCAATGTCTTGAATCCACCAAGATGTGATTCTGTAGCGTGGATTTAACTAACCGAGCGCTTCAACTCTAGAGCCCTTAAACCGGCCCTCGTCCAACCTCATTTGTCTCTGTCGACTCACTCTCTATATGATCTTGGCAACTCTTTGCCAGCAACTCTCACTCGACTTTAGTCTCACGCTCTTTTAATACGCTAATCCTTTAATTCTCCGGTAACCGGTTCTCTTTTTACCCCGGCCGCTCGCGTCTCTCTTTACACAACTTTCGCCTACCCAAGATTCCTGGAGAACCTACCAGCCATTCCTTGTCCAACGGCATTCACCAAGATACAAACCTTTCGCCGTCTCGTTCGTTATCCGCAATTATCTATCCAGCTTCTCCGTCCTTCGTTACCACGGGAAGCTTCGTCATTCTCCATCCGCAACCATGGCTTATACTCAGCACGATGACTCCTTTTTCATCGAGTCGGACGAGCCCACCTTTGAGCGAATGAATTGCCGCTCCGCCGCCAAGATGATTGCCCGCCAACGCCAGGACATTATTTCCAGCGAACTCTCCCGGCTAGCCAGCGAAGAGTACCTCGAGGATATCCTCCAACATATGGCCGACATGGAGGTACGAAGCTCGCCACATGCTCATTCATTATGTCACTGTTTGCTAACTTGATGACAGGATGCGACTCTGCCCGATGCTAACCTGATCGATATGCAGCGCGAGGTGCAGTGGTTTATGAGACCGTATCTCATCGACTTCATCATCGAGGCCCATGCCGCCTTCACTTTGCTACCCGAGACTCTCTTCCTCACCGTCAATCTGCTGGACCGCTACTGCTCGAAACGAGTGGTCTACAAGCACCATTACCAGCTTGTCGGCTGCGCTGCCCTCCTAATCGCTGCCAAGTATGGTGACAAGAAGGACCGTGTTCCCCAGATCACCGAGCTCAACAACATGTGCTGCGGCCTCTACGACTCGGGCATGTTCACCCAGATGGAGATGCATGTTCTCAACACGCTCGAGTGGGCCATCGGCCACCCTACCGTCGACTTCTTCACCCAGCTTATGGCTGCCGAGGAGAGTGACGACGCGGAGGTCGAGCACATGGCTGCCTATCTCTGTGAAATCGCACTCTACCACCGTGACTTTGTCTCGACCAAGCCCTCGATGATGGCCCGTGCCTCGCTCGCCCTCGCCCGCGCAATTCTCGGCCGTCCCGAAGTCAACGACGGTGACTGGGCACACACGGAGAACGTCACTCTCCTAACGCTATCACAACACCTTAGTCAACCCTCGGCTACTCTGGCTCGCAAATACGCTACCCCTGACCTGTCTCGTGTCTCGCAGAAGCTCACCGAATTCATGGCCGAGCAGGCTGCCATGGCCCGCAGAGCAGCTCACCCTCCTACTCCACCCGCAGAGCAGGTGAGCAAACCTGCAGACATTTACAGCACCCCTCAAAAGGTGCACGGCGGTGCCGCATATTACCAGGGCTACGTGACGCCTCCCATCACTCCCGATGGCGTTCACGTTCAGACACAAAAACAAGTCTATACTTCGTTACCGCCCCGATGCCCCGTTACCCCTACACCGCATCACGGCCAAGGGACAGTGTTTGCAGCACAGGCGCAAAATGGCTATCATAATCAGCATTGTATGCAGTATTGAGGTGCATCGAAGCATCGCATGCTGCATACAGCATGGCGCACAGCATGAAAGCATTAAGCCGGCTTTCAAAAACCCCAGAGTCTCGTACCGCACATAATATCGGGTCCTGGTACAACATATTACTCTTTCATCTTCTCGTTTCGAATTGCACATTGGCATTCAAAATGGTTTCTTCTCTCATTTACGTCATGCATTTAGCGACTTTTTTTTTTCATTACTTTTTCGCCCTTTGCTTTTTCCGTCGAACTTTCGACAAGAAAAGAAAAAAAGCGTCCGACAACAAAAAAATCTCTGCGGCATGTGGCCCACGGGCCCTCAGAGTTGATTTCGCATGTTACATCATTTCGCAGTGTGCACCATTTTCTTTGGGAACATGAGCCTCCACAGGCTTGGAGCATAATGGCCCTTGGTGGAAGTTGTTTTCTTTGGGAGGATTAGACTACAAGGGGGCCTAGCCAGCCTCGCTATGGAACACAAGAATGGAACAGCGGCCAAGGGGAGAAAAAGGATACCCAAGCGTTTGGTCGCAGCTGGCGAGAAGAGTGCCCCAGGGTTTAGCCAACGCCTGCAATATTGTTACCCTTTTCCACTGGGCTTGGAGACGCCTATATGGCACCTGTTTAACTGGGGGGCGGCTAATAACTTAGAAGCGGTCAATGCAGCGTGGTATGCATCACCCTTGAGGATAAGGGGTGCCCAGCGAGGAGCTGTATTGATGAGGGGGCGGAGCCTTAGGTTCAATGTATGGGTAGTTGTAAAACAGGCACAAAGAAGTAAAATACAATCCTATCAAGGGCAAATTAATGGTCTCGTGCAAGTGAATTAACGTGTAAGGCATTTACTGGTCGTGCGTGCCAGCCAAGAGTGCCAGTGGCAGTGAGTGCCTTGTGCATTTGGCGAGGTGCGCAGCGTGTGATGTGATTGGTGAGGCTATCGAACCATGAGTATTGTTGTGGAGGATGCAATTTCGGTGGACTTGGACTAATTGGACAAGCATGACCGTCATTAGCTATAATTTATCACGGTGCGCGGTTTCCATTCTTATATGTTGAAGTCTCTGTCTTCTTGCCTCAACTATTACTTGCATGGCAGAAATTCAAGTCAGCTGAATCACTTCGACATACTGCCGTTGCCACCCAGACAGATAGTTGGCAAAACGGCTGCGTGACCAGAACAACAGTTGATACAGCCACGATCCTGGATATCTTGCCAGACAATGACGTGAAATCAACGCTTTTTTTTTTTTTTTTTTTTTTTTTTGACTTTGTGGTTCTTTTACCTGGGTCATTCATCTTGCCGAAATGCGTGCGCATGGCGGCGCTGTTGTGTTTTGTCTGGTGGTGGTCTTTGCTGGCAACGTGGTCTTTGGCGGGCGTCTCTTGAAACTTACCCGGCAGAGCTCCCTGTTTGGCGGTTACCGTCCGGTATATCCATGTTTGCATGACAGTCCTTGTACCAACTTGAATGGATTAATTCCTTACAGTACGCGATAATCTCAGCAACGGGGACTTGCACGAGTGCCGTACAAAGACTTTCCCGCCAGTGGAATGGAATAGTGTTAGACCTTTGATAGGTCATTGAGCCTTGACTCGGAAGTAATTGGTGGCTTGCTTCTACTGACAAGACCTCTGTTCGAGACTAAATTAATAGTTAACAGGGATCGTGTAGCTATTCGAACTATTACTGTGCCTTGTGTAGATAGCATTGGTGAATATATTGTTGACTGTCTCAACGCCAAGAGAACTAATAGTTGCTGTATATATGCGTGCTCTGTGCGCTGAGTCAATCCTGACAACGCCCGTGCCAGAAATGAGCGTATCAAATAGATTGTCAATCAAAAGTTTGTGCGGATTGCAAGAAAAAGAAAAGCCATGTGCATTGTTTTACTGGTAGCATTCACGGTGCAGCCACCTCCAGGACTTGACGATACCGCCACAGCCCGCCTTTTACCTTGTAGCAAGCAATTTATATATAGGCATATAGAAGAAGCTTACTACTTGGTTTTTAATTATCCGTGATAGCCCAGACCCATTTTTATTCTCCTTCTTTCTGTTCTTTGAGCTCTGACTTCGAATTTTCCTATACGTATCATTCGTGTTAGTTTCTCGCACAATGACTTGGCATGATGGCTAAATCGCATCAAGGGTTTTGCCTACCGGATCGCTTTGATGATTGGGCACTTGCGGGACGGCAGCAGGCTTGCATCGGATATGATTAAAGTTCAAATTCTCACAGATGACCCCGTTTTCGAATTCGAGAGGTCCAACCCATTCAAGGGGGCATCGGGCCTCGACCACGAATTGCTCCGTAGAGCCATCGGCGGCAGCTGGCTTCGTGGTACAGGAGAGAGACTCAAGTTGTCTGTCGTAATTCAATTTGCAGGCGAAGCCGTGCGCAAAGGACTTGGGGCCATTCCAACCATTCAACGCGTTAGAGTCTCTTTCATTAGATGAACTATGACATTCATCTTATCAGCATTGCTTGTACGCGCCTCAAGGTCAGATGCTTACGACGGAGAAGAAGATGATGTATAGTACCTTGGGTATCTGATGCATTAGTATTGTTGTTTATTGTTGCGACCTGATACGTAATAGTTTAATCATCTAGCTTTGCTGGACTCGACCTTTCATCGTCACTGCTTCCCGTATCTGCCGTTGATACTAATTCAATAAATGCCTCGCCCAAAACTGTGCCTCTTTTCTTGCCAGCCACTCTACGCCATTCATATAATGGCCGTGTTTCGGTATAACCACCAAGTCAAAGTCCTTGTCCGCATCAATCAGCGCACTCGCCATGCGCATCGTCGTCGACGGATCAACCACATTGTCCACCTCGCCCGTCACCAGCATGAGCGCGCCGCCCAGCTTGCTCGCATTTGCGCAATTCGAGTTCCTCTCGTAGCTCTCGTCCACCGGCCAGCCCATGTACATTTCGGCCCACTTGCCGTCGCTCATGCGGTTGTCGTGCGAGCCCGAGAGCGCCACGGCCGCCTTGTAAAAGTCGTGGTGGTGCAGCACGGCCGCGGCCGCGTTTTGCCCGCCGGCGGAGCCGCCCGTGATGCCGACGCGGGATGTGTCCATCCAGGGCCGCGTGCTGGCAGCCGTCTGCATCCACTTGATGCGGTCGGGGAAGCCCGCGTCGTTGAGGTTCTTGTAGGCAACGTCCCGAAACGCCTTGGAGCGCCCGTTGGTGCCCATGCCGTCAATCAAGACGACGACGTAGCTGTCGCCCGCCCTCCTCCGAGATCCGCCGGTGCTGGCAAAGCGCTTTGGCGTAAAGTATTGGAATGGGTGGGCGTAAATGACCTCGATGACGGGATACTTTTTCGTCTCGTCCATGTTGTGCGGGCGAACAATGACGCCGTAGATATCCGTCTCTCCATCTCTGCCCTTGGCGGTAAACCGCTCCGGCGGTACATATTTTCCTGCGAGCTCAGAGTCGACGACTTCCTTTTGCAAAAAGGCAACCTGCTGGGAAGAAGCCACCGCTACCACGGCCGTATGCGGCAAAAGGTCAACGCGGGACCACGTGTCAATAATGTATCGGCGGTCGGGGCTAAACTTCCAGCTGTGCATCCCGTCCTCGCTCGTCACCAGTCGAAAGTCGGATCCGTCGAAATGGACGCAGGCTAGATGCTCATAGTATGGATCCTGGCCCGGAATGGCGCCACATGCCGTGAACCAAATTCTCTGCTCCTTGATGATGACACTTTCCACCGACTTGACCACCCACTCGCCCTTGGTGACCTGGTTCTTGAGCCTTCCGTCTGACAAGTCGAATCGGTAAATGTGGTTCCATCCGTCGCGCTCGCTGGCCCAGAGAACCTCGTTTGTCGCAGGCAGCATCTTGTACCAGAGTTTCTGGTTATAGTCGACGACCGTGTCGCTGCTGTCCTCGACCAGCACTTTGACGGCGCCGTCGGTGGAAATTTCCAGCAGTCGCACATGCTTGTGTCCGCGCTCGTTGAAGATGAAGCGAAACTTGTTGCCACAGTCTGACCATCCGATGCGTTGGATTTGATAAGGGTTCAAAAACAAGGCATCATTGATTGCTATCTCACGTCGTGCATGCATATCAAAGAGGCGAGGTCGGTCCGTGTCCAGGTGGTCGCCGGCTCTCCGCCAGCCATTCTTGTTGGTGTGGTGGCTCAACACCTTGGGACGGAGCTGGTCATCTGGCACAGAGTTTTTGAGCTCCAACGGATATCTAGATCCTTGTCTAGTTTGCATCGCTACAGCGTACCGCCCGCCCGGCGCCACCGAGGCGTTTTGGTAGCGGTTGTCCTCGAAGCCGTCAAAGGAGACCTGCGTCTCGACTTTATCTTTGCGCATCCACAGATTATACCGTCGAATAAACGTCTCATAGTCTGGTTTGCTTACGGTTTCGGTAGCTTGAGGAGACTCGGTCTCGCACGCAACATCAAGGCCATTGTCCCAGCTGACTCCTAGACCCTCACGCCGGTCCTCAATGTTGACAATGCCACGTTCTTGCTTCAACTCCAGCACCACGTTACGCCCGCTACAGGCTTCCCAGAAGCGGAATCTGTAGCCAATCGGGGATGTAAACGGGAAAGAATCTCCGGGAAGCACCTGATCGATACGACGCTCATTATTGCCGTCGTGGTCGATCCAGTAGTACCCGAGCATGACGTTTGTCAGATTAACAATGGTCACTGAGGACCGACCAGGCGACGTCCTCGGAGAGGGCTTCGTTATGTCATAATCTTGTTCAAACTGGTCCTCCTCAAACTCTCCACACCAGACCTCGAGCGCGTTGGTCCTGGAAAACTGCCAGATCTTGTCTGCGTAGCGGAAGCGCACCCACGCGCCGTCCGGGTCGACATTGAGCCAGGTGAGGGGTAACTGGTCCGCGTCTAGCGACTCGCTGGCGGCGGCGCCGTCGACGCTGCTGAGCGTCGTTGCAAGAGCGGCATGGTCAAATGCTGGTTGTGCAGTGCCTCGTGCACAATCCACAAAGATGAATTGCCACTTATCCGATGGTAGACTCCGTTTGTACCAAAAGACGTTGTTCCCAGGCAGCCAGCGGGGTACCACCATGGCCCTCGCCGCGCATGCATTTTCGAACTTGGTCACCTCCTTGGCAGTCATTTTGTAATACTCTTTGTAACACCCCTTTGTCTGCGATCTGATGTTTGTGAATTCGTGTTGTTCTAGTCTGCTCTCTCGCAATATTGTAACGTTTTACTGTCTCCCTCCACGGCGAGGAAATACAGCCGCTTATATCCGAGTCAACGGCGCTGTGCGGGCGTTGGACTCGTCATCTCAAAGAAACGCTGGTTAGGCAGCCGTGTTTGTACATTGGCTGCGCATGGGTGGCCTTGCATGAGTGGCGTGACACTGGCGGCTAGACTGTGGAGGAGGCTTTGCATTGGGAGACAAAGGTAGCCTGATGAAGCCTCTCTGTGATTTCGAATCCGACAGTAAGTCCATAACTACGAGTATTTATATTCGCACTTCCGTTGCGAAGCGAATCTGACCCCGGGACGTGTGTCGACACTGCAGTCCCATGACTACAATGGTTACGCGTACAACTGCTTCGTCTCGGCCCTTGGGCTCTTTCAGAAAAATGTTCAAAGTCAGTCTCATTGTGCAATTAACACAGTAAGACTGTCGTTCTGGCTGCTAATTTATTTCAGGATTACACACCCTATGTTGGACTTTTACTAGTCTTGATGAGCGCGTACCTCTACAACAGGCAGGAAGGCTGGCAGCGCATCTCCCAATTAGGCCCCGGAATTCCTTTCAAATGCGACCAGAATTACACAGTGGAGATTTTGTCCATTGATCCGCTTGCAATTTATCTCAACAATTTCCTGAATGACGCAGAAATCCGATATCTACTTGCACTGGGGTATGTGATTAGTCGGCATCCGTCAGACAATACGACATATTATGAGCGTCGTTCATCGCTAACCAAACTTCAGGGAAAATATATACAAGCCGTCGGAAGTGGCTTCCCACAGCGGGATTATTGTAAATACGACAGTACGCAGCTCAGAGAGTGCCTTCCTACTAGAAGACGATGCCGTATGCAACTGTCTCATATCCCGCATGAAGTCTCTACTCGGAAATGTTCAACATGAGCATGTAGAGAGCCTGCAAATGGTCAAATATGCAGCGGGCGGAGATCGGTATCGGCTGCACACTGATTGGAGCGTAGCAGCCAAGAACAACACGGATGAGGCGTCTGGAAAACTAAGGCAGAGTCGTCGTCTGGGCACCATCTTCGTCTACTTGGAGGACAGCTGCGCTGGCGGCGAGACGTACTTTCCCCTGCTAACTGGCGTCTCCGATGACGCAGATGGGGAGAAGTTCGCGGTCGCAAAGCAGGGCGGAGGGCTTCTCGTCAGGCCGAAACGAGGAAATGGGGTTTTCTGGAACAACATTCACTCGAATGGCACAGGTGACGATCGGGTTGTCCACGCCGGCCTGCCAATCAAATCGGGCGTCAAAATTGGACTGAACATGTGGAGCACGTACTATTTCGACTCTCCAGTAGTCGGTGGTTAGTTCAAATCAAAATGCAGAGCATTTACTGTCAAGCATAGCCTCGCTCCTGGCACCGCACCCGGATATTGGTTTTCTCGTTGATAACTAGTAATTGACAAGGATCGTGGCTGTCGCAAGCTCCCACCGGAGCTCTATCCCAGCATAGCCTCGCTCCTGGCACCGCACCCGGATATTGGTTTTCTCGTTAATAACTAGTAATTGACAAGGATCGTGGCTGTCGCTAGCTCCCACCGGAGCTCTATCCCGAGCCGTTCTGCTCGTACAACCGTGCTAATCATCCTGGGGGGTCCTTTTCAGCTACACCGGCAACCTGCATGTGTTTCCAGCACCGGCGGCGGTACGCACCGTTTACGGCCAATTATTTGCAGCTACGAGGAAGCTCTTTTTTTCTTTTTTTTTTCCCTAGCAGCGGCGCATACACACCTTAACGGGCAGGAGGATGCGCGTCTCACGATAAGGCTGGCTAGCGCAAAGTGAGGAGCTTAAAACAAAGTGTAAATCCAAGCAAATATACTAGTAGTACAGGGCAGTCTAGCAATGCGATAATTACAGCAGAGGAGAAAATAGAATGCAAAAAATATATATAGTTGAAAAAAATCGATATAGATACTAGGCACATAAAGAGGATGTAATTGACAAGTTAGTACACGACTAGCCTTGTTCGTCTTTCACGCGAGTCCTCCAATGTGATGGCAAGGCCGGGAATCGAGCCTGATTTGACTTGTCTCAGAGGACCGTCCAAGCTCCTCAATATTGCATCAAGTGTCGCTTCCGGCAATGTGTTCTAAGATTATCTTGGCGACTGAACAGCATACCGCAGTAGCTGCAAGACAGTGACGGTTGATGCATCCTTTCATGACGATCTCTATCCTTTCTCAGTGCAAACGTTGGCGACTTGCCATTAAAATCAGAGCAGTTTGGTACTCTGCAAGAGTAGTGGCGAAAATGTAAACGGTAGTGCTTTTGAAGATCGCATGGCCGCTTAAAAATTGTTTTTGATGCGCATGATGGATGTGGGCATTGTAGTACTGCTGGGGACAAGTTTGTGTCAATGCTGAACGGTGACTTAGAGTCGTTCTCGATCAACGGAGGGATAAACGGGTCCGGAAGACTCCCAGACAGGAACCTCGAAGCATCAGTGCTTGCTTGGAGGTTGAAGTTCGAGAGTTCCTGGCAGCCCGTCGCCTTGAACAGCGGCTGATCGATAGCAGAGCTCATTCTTCCAAAGGCCGAGTTGAAAGGAAACTCAACATTCGTCGGGAGTGTATCTCGAACCTGGCTCGCTGGGCCGTGTATATGGCAGATGGCTCTCGCCAGACTCGGTGTCACAGCCTCAAGGGAGCGTTGCCTTCGGGCTCCGGATTGCTCGCCATATTCCAAGCTGTCCAGAGATAAAGAAGGAGCGTTCAAGTCAAAAGCAGTGAGAGTTTGCGCCCATGGCGTTGAACTGGCTTCCGTCCAATCGTCATGCTGGCCCATCTCCGCTCGTGCTTTGCCAGATGCAGCATCAGCAAAGGTATTGGCGTGATATCCAGGGTGCTGTAGCGTCGACCCTTGGAATGAAGAAAGAGGTCCAGTAGGAATCTCCAATATAGGTAGTATATTGCCAAAATGGGGGCGCGTGGTTCGCTCGCTAGGCTCGGTTGCTGAAATGAGCTTGTTGCAACGACAGTTGGAAGACGAAGACATGGTGCTTCGATTGCGTGAGGGTAAGTACATTGCATAAGCAGCGTAGAACAGCATATGTCTACCGTTAGATAGTTAATGCGCCATGCACTAGAGTTTGAGTCAAGGCTGCTGCCGGCGGAGCCTTATAGCTGCGGACATTGTCCCGTGTCCCGCGTCCCGCGGTGCTACCGAAATCGTAGCTCGACATTCATAAAGCCAGTAACTGGACTTAGTAAAATGCGTCTCTGATTGCTTAATAGGCGATGATTTTGGTTGAAATACCTTTACATGAATCCCTCTAGTACTATGAGTTTTGCGAGTAGGGCGATGATGTTGATCCGCAGCTTTGCTCACTCCTGACTTGAGTGGTAACCTCAACCTTCCGTGCGGACCTTGAGAGTCACCCATTATATGAGCATGACGAGGGGCTAGTTTAGCAGGCCATCTGACTGTCGTAAGTCTGCTTGTGATGGTGTTTTTAGTGAGCTATGAGGTGCTGAGTGGCGTGTGAGATACCATTAAGGGTATGCGAGTAGGCGGCATCTTAGGTATAAAGAGGCGCTCTGTGATGATGAAAACGGGTCAGGTCGAGCGCTTATCGACCTCTGTTGAAGCTATACTGAGTATCCATCCTTTACAAGATGAACGGACGGGGGGAGCCTGTAAGATAAAGTAGACGGCAGAAACTGTTAATGGTACTTGCCGACACGGCATGGTTCTGCGCGGCTGAAATTGATGCTATACTGGCGAGAAATTGGACTTTCTCTACTCGATACTCATTAGTGCTTGTGAAGCATGTTCCGTCTTTGAAGCTATGATGAGCTGATGATATTCAAGTGTCGGTATATACTTGGTATTATTGTGCGATTGGTAGTATAAGGGCTTCATATGTTGACTGGCGTAATAATTACCACGTAGAGCCTGTAGCATAAGCCCTCATAGTGCGCAGTGCGTTTCCTAGTGCTGTACTTCCATCTTATAGTATATACTCTGCCCAGTCTCAGGAGTACATATTGATGCATTGCGCAAGCCACGGCCATTATTTAGTCCGACGATACTGCACGCATATTATATGCCTAGCAATAGTTCGCTGGCAGGTATCTAAAGTCCCTTAATTATTTGGGTCACTAGCCGAGTGGCTGCTGGCGCCTTTGGCTTCCTGCAGCAGCTCTGATTGGACGAAATAAACAATAAAGGCACAGAGAAAAAGAATGAAATGAAGATACTTGTCGATCAAATTTGTTAGTTCTAATGTAATTGCGTTGTTTATATGAAGCCTCTGAATCTAGCCAACTCCCTGCCGCATTCGGCCAAATTGGAGGCTATACATTAAAGCTTGCCAAAAATGTTTCTGTTGTGGGAGCTCTGCATCGCATTCCCTCGGTCAGCAGAGTCCATGCAGTTTTGCGTCCGACGGGATATACAAACTTTACTCCTTGGCGGCATGATAGGGAGGAGGAGGGCCCCAGCAGTTGGAGCAGGCAAGAATGTCAACGCCGTCAACAAGGTTCGTGTCGACATCGACAGGAAGGGGAGAGGCGAGGACCGAGATGGTCTGGACGAGCAGGGCGATGGTAAGCGGGAAGTTCATCTTGACGGTGTGTGTGTGAATGCGAGCAGAACAAAGAGTGTCGAGTGTGATCGACTGTTGATAGCGGACTTGTTGTATCGGCTGTTCTCAGGCTTTTATGTCAAGATGGTCCGCAGCCTCTTTTCGCATATCCATAAAGACGATTATTCATACTATTTGCTGCCCAATTATGGATACCTCCATCATGTCAACACTAAAATGTGGCAAGGCTAAAGGATCGCTATCACAGGGTCACCGGAGCAAGGCCACCAGCAGCCATTGCCCTTCGCAGCAGATCCACGTGCGACAGAAGCAAGCGTACCGTCAAATAAAAGCTCTCTTGAAAAAGGATCAATAACCTCGAGCAATTCCGCCCACGCGAGGCCACCCAACGCGAGGCCACCTGCCGTAACGCGAGGCCACCCGCTGCGAGGCCACCCGCCGCAAGGCCACCCGCCGCAAGGCCACCAGCTGCAGGCTGCGCTTTGCAGTACCGCCATTTTCTCTAGCACAACTCTCTTACCTTAGATCCGTCAGCAAGGCCTGCGCTGACGACAAGAAGACTGGAAGGAAAACATATCCAGCAGACTTTCCGGCACGAGCCATCCTCGCTCAACTTTGACAGAACCAATTAAGAGATTGCTTCCGCGGCCGACATGAACGCCGTTTGCCCTCAGAGTTAACCGGCCGCGACATAATAAAATCGTACTTGATCTCAATTTACTTCATTTACCGCGATGAGTTGGTCTAGCACGTCGATTCTGCCGAAGGCAAAGCACAGGTATGCTTTGCTATCGAGCAAACACTCTCTCGAAGATCCGAGAACAACGACGACGGAAGCACGAAGACCCCAATTTCGACCCAAAAACTCCTTTATAACCTACCTTTTTGCACTTCTTGCGGTTTTTGATGTAATCGCTTTGGCTGCCCTGGGGGTCAACTACATAAGAACCACGCCCGGCCGCACGCACGCACTCAAATTCCATCCCTCACATACATTTGGGAGCATTGAACACATCGGCGATGCTGACTGGGATGGGTTATTGCCTGAAAATGGTGGTTATTGGCTAGATCAGTCTCCTCAAAACGGGGGCTGGTATGGCATCTCCATGTTCCACCAGCTGCATTGCCTGCAATTGATGAGAATGGCCATTCAAACTATTGCACCGCCAGACGAGGAGGCAGCCACAATCATGAAACCTCGGCATGACCGCGACCCGTCGAAAGTGCCGTTTGGTCATTTGGGCCATTGTCTTGACTATATGCGCCAGGTAAGAGAGCAACATGATGCCGTCTGCTAGGTGCAAGCTAACCTAGCCCCGTGAAGACCGTCCTCTGTTACGCAGACGGCACTCTTGAGCCGCCCGAACCTAGTGACCACGGCCTGGGAATTGAAGGTTACAACATTACACGCCACTGCAAGAGCAGCGATGCTGTGTACAGGCTCGCAGAGGACAGTCCAATCAGGAACCCTGACGGCTCGCCCCGCAGAGCAGCATGAGGTTGGAGCGCGTCATAGCTAGGTAGTAACATGAATAATACACATGGATTGCAAAACGCGTATTCGTCGCGCCCGAAATGTTTACGAGCTTGGTCTGTCATTGTCTGTTGCGTTTTGAAGATGCGAGATAACGGCCCATAAGTTGAGTGCGGGTGCGACGAGTCTATAGCAGCCTACAGGTGAGTTATAGCTAAGACTTAATTCGCCCCTTATGTGTAGTAAGATGTAGAATCAGGTTTTCAAAAAAGTAGAGGTAGCCGTTTTAGTTTATGTAATATTCTTATTAGACCTGTGATAGGCCACCTAAGCCTGACTGTATGAAGGCTACAAATGACTAGTGGCTTGTCAATACTGATAAGACCTCTATTCGAGACTGAACTTATAATTGATAGGATCGAGTAGCTACTTAGTCTACTGCTTTACGTTATGCAAATATCACTAATAAATAGATTGTTAATTTAGTCTATGCTAACAAGGGAGTAATAGTTGCTCTATATATGAGTGCTGTGATGCCAGCGCGCCGAGTTTTTTCCAACGGCGCTCGCGCTAGAAATGGGCGAACACTTCTTACTAGAGGCTTGAAAGGGGGTTTAATATAGGTCCTAAAGCTGATAAATAGCTATAAATTACTTGGTGAACTAGCTATCAATGCTGGTAACTGTCTATTTAATTAGCTGTTAACGTCATTAGTGGCCTAGTTAACTGGCTATTAATGCTGTTGACTGCCTGGTTGACTAGGTTTTGGCGCTGTTAACTGTCCTGGCTGTTGACGCTATGGATTGCCTGATTGACTGCCTAGTTGACCCGCCTGGCTGACTATATCGAACACCCTTACGCACCCTCTTGGCGTGTGCCTACTTGGAGTTGTTAACCTTGATATAAGAATGAAAAATGAGTTCTGGCCGCAACTCACCTATAGGCTGCCATAACGGGCGGCCTTGCGGCAGGTGGCCTTGCAGGCTGACGCTGTAAGAGGCCTTGCAGAAGGATGATCAACTAACCAAGGCAGGCGCAATAAGCCGCTGAATGCCACTGCAAAAGTACAGTTGGCTGTAAAAAGCACCCCTTGTCAGGACCACAATAGACAGCCTTGGTCTTGGCGACCGGCAAGCTTGTCCTCGCTGCTCGTAAGACTGTGCCGGGACGCTGCCACCATGCAATGCCGACCCAGCTAACGGGTGCCGCTTGGACGAAGGGCAAAAAAACGTCATCTGTTTTACAAATATCCAACTGTATATTGACACAAGTGGAAACGAACAGGCCGCGGCTGTTTTCACAGTGACGGCGAGATATTCACCCGAAGCGAGGTTTCGCCCTGGTCCTGCGCTCGCCTCAACAGCGCCATCAAGCATTTCGTCACAATGCATTTTCGATGGATGTTTGCCCTGTTGAAGATTTCCTTGTCATTGCCGTTGCTATCGCGAACTGCCGACGCCGAACGCTCTGCTCGCCACTGCGTTGAAGAAGGAAGAAAACACATCAACATCTGTGTTTCATTTTCCACCGAAGCGAACAGCACCACAGGAGGGACGGATTTCCGTCTTACTTTTGAGCACCAACGGTATTCTACCGGTGGATGGACGGCCGTTGGCCTTGGCAGCGGCATGTACGGGGCCCTGATGCTGATTGCCTACACAGGGACAGATGGCGGTAAAGCAACCACTCCGCCGTTACCAAAATGATTCTAACATCGCCTAGAACCTGTTCTAAGTATCCGTCATGGAAGGTAAGAAAGTTCAGAGGCGTACTGCATTTGCTGTACTAACACCGTCTTAGAGGACATATCGAACCGCGACCCTTTGAGCTCCTGCCAGAGATGGTCATGTCCGCCGTCTCAATTAACGAAAACAAGTGGTTCACGTCAACTCTCACCTGCTATAACTGCGACGACTGGGTCAAACCAGACAAAGGAGCCAGCGCTCAACCATTTATCTGGGCGACCAATCCCTATGAGCCCCGAGATGGCGCTTCTGCCGACGCGCAGCTGCCGATGCATCGACACAAGGGGCATTTCACGCTCGAGCCCAGCAAGGACCAGAGAAAAGGGGGGTTACTTGACGGGGATACTGTTTTAAAAAATCCAATTCACACAGAAACCGCAATGGGAGATGCGACAGTCCCCTCGTCCGCACCGAAGCCGTCAGCCAGAATCGTGGTACTAATGAGTCTCGCCATCATGGTCCTTTTCCCGGCAGCGGCACTTTGGGCGGCAGATGCATCGGAGAAGGGGAGCAAAAGCTTACGAGCCGCGCAAGTGGTTGCCACGCTGGTCTGTCTGGTGACTGGAATAGTTATTATTATTCTATCCCCAAACATGGAAAAGGTACTCTCTCTCTCTCTCTCTCTCTCTCTCTACTCTCTCTCTCTCTC